AGTCTGCCTACTCGTACAGGTCGAGAAAGAAACAGCAAGACAAATCTTCAAGAGGATATGTAGGTTGTGGTGTCTCGAGTTCAAATTCATGGTGTAGACCGGTGGCTTTGTCTACAGTACTGTATGCACTCACGATTCCCTAGATGGTTGGACCCCCTCCTAGTCGTGCGGTATTATTTGTTATGCATTTCATATCCTCGAGTACTCGCGCCGCCGAGTTGAAGTCGCCCACCCAAATCTAGTAATGATTGTCAAATCAATTAGAACAACCCATACCCAATCATTTAACTATACATAAAAGTTGAACATGAAGGTCATTTTTTCCCTATAACAATTCTAACCATTGAAATTATTTCCTCCCTGATGAAGAATAACCTGTCGCAGTTTTGCATGAAATGATGAACACTTTTGATCGATAACTTCCTGTGGTAAGTCCTCCCAAGATCTTACAAGTGCTGCCTTTGTCAAGTTGATGGTCTCCTGACTTGCACCCACAAACCTCCAGGTTGATATTTCATCTTTCTTGTAGTCCCAGAGTGGTTCTATTTGGTTTAAATCTGGTTATTTGGATGGCCAGTCTAAGGTAATGATACCTCTTCCAAGATGCTCCTCCTTATCAACACACTGTACAGTCTGATGGGCAGGAGCATTGTCTTCTACCAAGTAGGTTAAAGTCATACCTGTTTTTCTTTGCATTTCATCAATCCAAGGATAGAGCTTCGGGTATAGGACACGCTCTCTGTAAGAGTGTTAGGAATACCAGGATCTGATACTTAGGAATCACCCTAAGTAGGATAACCCCACTTGGAATCAGAAACCCTGGTCTCCAACACCCCCATCCGGCCCCCTTACGGGTCCTACACGTCATTATACACATCAGTCTCAGTTGCAGCCTAGGACTATAATGCCACAGAGTTGATGGTATCAGAATAACACCGTATACATTATTGTTGTCTGTTCAACTAGATCCTGTTCACAGGTTATATGAGAGAGGACCTTCAGCTAGGTCTGGAAAGTGGAACAGAGTAAATCCGTTAATTAGTTACAGAGTTACTAGGCTTCAAAGATGTAACATCTTTGGTAAGGGCCATAAGTAACAGGATGTTTTTGCATAAAGAGATGATATCAAATGATACAGGATCTCAACGAGAAACCAATACATTCACATCCATCCTACAATAATCAGAAGAGTCTAGAACTCCGAAGAACACTACCATAGAAGCCAATAGACTTCATGGAGTGTTACAACTAGGTTTCAAAACATGTTATAGCTGCGGGAATAACTCCCAATACTACAATAGCAATTGAAATCCCGTTACCCAGAGCAACTAAAGGTTGCCGACCAAGAGATTATTTGTCAATCCAGTGGAATAGCTTCCTGCAAATTAGTAGGAAGTCCTCCAGAAGATATCTATTGGTTGAGTAAGGAGTTATGAAGGTTTGAAGTCAGGCGACCTAGAAAGGTTACGATTACCACTACCTTCGCAGATACAACCCGCAGATGAAACAAATCATTTCATCAATAACAAAGACAATTGGGGCCAACCCAGTTCGACTTGAGAACTAGGCCATAAGTCTAAAGACTCTAATGATCGGATAATTACTATTGGGAACAGTATAGTTCCCAGTTAGTTATATTGTAATTGCTAAAGAGGGTGTGGGAATTTTCAGTGTCTCCTGGTGTTCACATCTTTTAAGAATACTCAATGTTGTGAGCTATAATCAGAGAGGTACATAGTTGTATAATAAATAGATGTAGTCCGCAAATACTCAGACGCGGAATATAAATATCGAAGTGTCTCCTAAGCTTTAGACATTATTAAGCAACGGAGAAGAGACCTTAACAATATAATATTGTCTTCATGCTTCAATTCTACTTTACCTATTTTTACTTCACTCTTAGTAATCGTAAACGAAACAAGTGAAGTCTAAACCTTCTTAGACAATCTCCATCTACAGAAATGAATTTTGGTTGGCCTATACAACTTTGAAGTTTATCAGGTTGTCTCTGCCTAACAAAGAGACCTAATTTATTCCCTGTTACTTGTAAACCTGAACTGCTCCTCATTAAATATGTGCTCCAGGTTATGCCATTTGCGCTTATGCTGTCCGGTCCTTCCTTCCTCTTGATTTTGAATATCCACTGCAGCATTCACATTTTACAAATGTGTCTCTTACCAGGTACCTTTAATACAGGCCTGCTGTTGATTATAGAGTTGCTGATTCTGGTGCCAATAGTTTTCATTAAAAACTACCTAGTGAAATTGGGACTTTTCCTCCTCTGTATCTTGTTCCTATACACAACATGGGCCTTTTTGACCAAACATAATAGCTTCCCAAAGCATGACTGTAATTGCTGGTTTCTCATGATCACGGTCATGAATTGCGTGCTCATCTGAGTTGCGATGGACATAGTGAGAGAGACATTCTGCTGCCATCCGGGCGCATTAAACTCAATCCAGGTTTTATCCGTAAATACAATCGTATTTACTGCTATTTGGAGAGCCATATAGGTGAAGGCTAACCGGGAGTCAATATGGGCAGCAGTAAGGGAGGCCTTGTAACTCACTTTATGTCGAAATATGTGGTACTTAGTATGAAAAACCTCCTCTAAGATTGATCATGTAGCAACAATCTCAAGCTCTGTGGCAATCTCCGAAAATGGCATAAGCCAGTATTCTTCGTCTTTCTGGCTTAGATCTCAAAGAGCAATGGACTCTGAACATCCTTCTGAGAATCTTTGTTGATTTCCTCCTCCGTGGTTATCTTCAAGACATACTAATACATCATCAAAATCACTTGGATCTGAGGCACATTCCTGTCCATCACACTTAGCTCTCAGACTTTAAAGACTAAACTGATCCAAGTATGATATTTTACCTTTGCATGATGGACAATGTCTATCACTGTCCTCTTTTTCACATTCAACCTATTTTCTATACTCGCAAAGGACAAATTTCCATACCAGTTCAGAGCTAAACTGGGAGCATGCTTCATCAAGGGGATCTAGGGGGCACTTCCAATCCCTGAATGTGTGAACGGCATAGTGGAGACTTTATAAAGGGTTTTAGGATGTGGATCTGGTAGGGTTCTGGGCTAATGAGATCACTAGGATTTGACTTGTGATGCAAAATCACAAAATCTCTATTGAAGGTAGAGAGATGTGGTCAGAATGGTGATAATAGGAGTTCATTGAGCCATGGTGGCATTGGCATTGCCACATAATCCACTTTATCCTACTACATTCAGTATCTCATACCTGATGTCATCCTCTTTCTTATTGGCTTGATGATTACTTCCTGTTTTGGGTGCGCGACTTCAACTCGGCGGCGCGAGTACTGCTGATGCGCAGAAAAACTAACTGCCACTCACCACTGCAAATGGGTGGGGCAAATATTGGCAGAGGAGCACCAGTATTATACCTTCTCCCAACTTCAGCATTTCTTACTTGAGTAAGTAAACCATTTTCCGCTGTCCAAACCGTGCGAAGTCAATGCTAAGATTTTCCCCGATCCAATCGCACCAAGCATTCTGTTGAAGGAAAAGGCCTTGTCCAGCTTCTCAATAGCACCGCATAAAACTGCGACCAAACTACCGGTATCGGTGTAAATTTCTGTTGTAAGAACCTTAACTCCTTCCTAACATTCTCCTCTCTCTTCTCCTTTGCCCTCTCTCTCCTTGCTGTACTGTACCGTTCATCTCGCCAACGCCCCTCCATCTACCGTGCTATCGCCCTTGGGAGGGGGTGTTGGAGCACCCGTTGAATCCTGCCGATGCACGGAACTGCTTCATGTGTGCTATCGGTGCTCACTCAAAGAACAACCACCACGTATCAAGGGCCCAATTTGTGAAATCCCTGTTTTGTATCATACTCGCGCGGCCGAGTTGAAGCCGGACACCCTCATATCATACAGTAGTTGTCGCCCGATCAATAACGAGCCCGTGTGGGGCAACACAGTTAATAATCACATCCGATACTAATGAAACCCGATCCTTTTTGGTATACACGACCTGACAACCCATTGGATATCCATATCACAAATCTCACCATTGAGATCATTGTTTCCGTTATCAACACCCTTCGAAGCCCTTGTAAAATGCTTGACACCCCCGATGAATCCCAGCCTAAGAAGAGCGTCGCAAGTCCTCGCAAGCGCTTTTTTTTTTTGGCTGAAATATGTTACAACCTATTTTCTACGATATATAGAATTACATGACTTGGCTTGGCGCTATAGGGGAATGAATTCACTGGCCCCAGCGATCACTACCATAAGGGTCTCCGGCTTCAATTCGGCCGTGTGAATACCCCTTAAATTTAATCTGTGTGCAGATTTCGTAGCCCCCCAGGGTGGTTAATGGCCTTCGGTTAACATAATGTCTTTCCCAAAGGTCGTATGGCCGGGGAGCTCTTGCTACGAGGCGATCAGTATAAAACATCTACATTATTTCAATACTTAAACCATTCCTACGAGTAGTCTTAGGGTGTTCCGGGGAACCAAAAGGTGACAAATATGGATCAAGGGTAGACATGTGATGCGCTAGAGCAGAGCTAACGGTACTTGCTTCCCCCCGCCAAGAATTGGGCTTTTTTTATTGGAATAGCCAATAGGTCAATGGAGAGGGCTAACCGGTTCCAATTCCTGGCTCGGAGACAGGAGTACGAGTACTGCAATAGTCTGGTAGACTACTGTGAGGTTATGAGCGGGACTCCCGGGCTCGGGGGATTCCGTGGAGAAAGCGTTGTTCCCTGGGTGGATGATGTGTGCCTAGACCAGACCATACAGGAGTGGGAGTCGTGGAGGAGATTACCATGCAGCACGCCCAATGTATTCAGGTAGGACTAGGAAAAACTCGAGCTAGGAGGGTCTTGTGTGGCATGGGGTTGGATGTTCGGCACCGGTATTATAATTTATACTCGTATGGACATACCGCATGACTAGTCTATGCCAGCGGTGGAGGAAGGGGTGGCCTCGGAGATTTCTATATAAAAGTGAGTGGTCCTTCGAAAAAAGCCGGACCGCAACACACAGATTAGGATATTGTTTCTCTATACCACCATAAGTATCTTGTTGGCTCAGCTTCTTTGCCTTCAAGTTCTACAATCATGATGGCCACATTGCACCGTTTCGAGGGTGCTGCCCTCCTGGTGCAGCAAGTTGTCAAGGACGTGCCGGCGTGGAAGTTATGTGCTTATGTGACACTGTTGGTGAGCGGGAACCGTGCTATGGCTTCCTCATTTTTCAAATTTCTTGGGGGCTAACGGGGAGATGTGCAAGCAATAGTTCCCACTGTACGCTATTACGATGGGGATTTACAATCTCTTCTTTCACCCCTTGAGGAATTTTCCTGGACCGAAGAAGGCAGCTCTATCGAATGTTCGTCTGCCCTGGCTCTGCCGCAGAAATGGCCTACTAATGTTAAGGTTCAATCTAGATATGGTACTCGTATATATGGCTTAGCGGGAGGTACCCGCACATAATCCACGCTCTTCATGAGAAATATGGTACCTGGATTTCCACTGCTTCCCTCCTTTCTCCTACCTTCCACCCCCAAATGACCCCCAGCTAATGACCCCCACAGGCTCCGTCGTCCGCGTAGCCCCGAACCAATTGTCCTACAACACCAGCTCCAGTTGGAAAGACATCTACACCAATTACGGCAATCGTCAAACCTTCCGCAAGAATAGCTTGTACGACAGAGACAAACTAGACCCTGTAACAAACATATCACGAGAGCCCGATCCCGTCAAGCATAACCAGATCAAAAGATTGTTTTCTAATGCGTTCTCAATGAAGTCACTTACTGAACAGGAACCGATTGTGCAGGAGTATGTTGATTTACTAGTATCGCAGATTGGAAAGCACGGTACCGGGGAGGATGGGTTGGACATGACCAAGTGGTATAATTATTGCACTTTTGATGTTCGCGTCCCCTTAACCTTCGTTTCTGCTACACTAAGTCATACGTGACAGGGGGGTTAATGACTATGGGGTGGATAGATAATTGGAGATTTAGCATTTGGAGAGGGCTTCGATGCTACAAAAGAAGGCAAGACCCCTCCCTTACCAACCTCTAACTCCCCGACTTCGTATTGACATCATGTCCCTCGCCCACAGGAAAACCTCACTTCTGGATCTCCCTAATCCTTGACAGCGTCTATGCCATCAGCTTCATAAATGTGACTGGTCGTTTCCCCTGGCTATCCAAGTTTGTCCCGTCAATCACCCCAGCAGAGATAGTAGAACGCCGCCAGAGACACATCAATTATGGCCGCGACAAAGTCAACCGGTACCTTACCTCACCTCTCTCCACCCCACTTAAAAACTAACCCATACTTTAGTCGCGTAAAATCCGACAACAAACGCAAAGACTTTCTTACTAATGTCCTAGAAAACTATCGTGACCAAATTTCTGATGCAGAACTTTACTCGAACGCTCAAGTCTTCATGTAACCCTCCCATATTCCCTCACCACCACCCCTCATTCCTTCGCCCCCTCTGACACAATCACAGCGTCGCCGGCAGTGAAACCTCAGCCACAACCCTCTCAGGCCTAACCTACTACATCCTCCGCAACCCACGCACCTACCAGCGCTTGGTCAGCGAGATAACCTCCTCCTTCACGTCCTATTCAGAAATTAACTCCGTAACCGCCGGAAGGCTAGAATACGTCGGAGCAGTAATTAACGAGACCCTCCGTATGTACCCGCCCGTCCCTATCGGTTTGCCAAGGCTCTCTCCGGGGGAAACTGTGGACGGGCAATTTATCCCTAAGGGCGCCCTGGTCAGCACGAGTCCGTGGGCTTCTGGACATTGTTCAAAGAATTTTCACGATCCGTGGACGTTCAAGCCAGAGAGGTGGCTAGATGGGGAATGCGAAGAGAAAGATATTAGGGAGGCAAGTCAGCCGTTTTCGCTCGGACCGAGAGGTTGCCTTGGGAGGAAGTAAGTCTTTCCCTTTTCCCGTGTGGTCCGGCGAGGTTCTGGATAAGTATTAATTTGTGATATTCGGTGGATATAGCTTGGCACTCATGGAACTGAGACTCATCATTTGCAAAATGCTTTTCACGTATCATCTAGAGTTGCTGGATACGAAGCTGGATTGGGAGAGGGATAGTACTGCATATATCCTTTGGGTCAAGCCGGATCTGAGGGTTAGGTTACACAGGAGATAATCTAGCTATCATAATATCATAGTTCGTTCGGGGAGGGAAATAGGATGGAATATCAATGGTCTTAGCTCCCAAATGTTGGGGTTATCCAGCAACTTAAATTGTGTTATTTTCTTTATTTGATTACAGATGTGTCCCAAATACTTTGTTCGTAGGTATGTATCATATTTCCAAATATATTCCTATTTCCAAGACCCCCGAAAAGTCCACCCCCAGTACGATCATGAAATCCCACTCGCCGCCAAGACAACTCACCTACCGCGCATGTATAAAGCAAAGCATTCCAACCTTGGTGCAGAACCCACCAAACCCCAGAGCCTGACAACCCCTCTCTAGATCGATTCCGAAAGTGAGATTAGCATCGTGGCCACAGGCCCACGTATTCGGGCCAAGTATGATGGGTCAGTCCAGGGCCTGATCGGCCCGGATAAGTCCGAGTGACGTGCAGTGGGGTCAGTCTGCGGCCTATTACACCATAATATTATAGCTGGGGCTGGTGTGAAGGAGGTATAAAAGTGGATCTATCATACGCACGCTCGACATTCATCCGTAGCCCTTTTGAGCGGGAATGACCATTTGGCTCTGGGGAGTGCTGATTGTATCTGGGTTTATGTTTCGCTTGGCGGTCTAGTCGGCGTATGGCGCGTTGTGAATGCACCCGCCTCCGGTTCCCCCGGGGAGGTCCGAACCTTGAGCCTGGGAGGCAGGCTATGGGGGGGGGGGGTTGGTGGATGAATGGGGGTTTCAAGGATATAATCCCAGCCCCCGACCGTACCGGTACGGACCCCCAGTATGAATCACAGATGTGGATATCAAGAAGGAATAGGTATGGCTCAGCTCCGTTTTCTATACCCGTCTGTTTCGCGTAAGAAAGCAGCCATATATGTTAGTTTCGCTAGAGGACGGATACACGTGTCTCCGAGCGAAGAATTAGCACCCCTTTTGGAATAGCTCACGCTGACCCAAGGAAAGTGTAGTGTTGAAGCTGCTTGTTTGCCGGTTCGGCGGTGCCAGGATAATAATAATAGATTATTGAAACCCCCACCGTGCAGACAGGATTAAATATCAGGAGCCCCGATAGCAATATTTTCCGGCCCCGGGAGTGAATAACTCACCAAGTATTACAAACCGCTTTTTTTGCTCATTGCTACTCTTAGAAGAGTTGATATGCACATGGAACTAGGATCAGGAGTGTGGTTGGACTTAGAACTATACCGTGGAGTGTTGTGTCGCTTACACACTGGATGGGATATATGCATTGAGGATTATGTACTCAATGCAGCACTGGCCTGGGTTGTCTGAGGAATGATGGTTTCCTTCTACTTGCTTCCAATACACCGATTCTGTCCTCTCATTTTTTTTTCCTCTCTTTCTCCTATTCTTGAATGATAATAACTATACGCATATCATTGTTTTCATCTCATCAAGACCACTTCTGCAACGTAGATTCTAACAGCTACCAAGAAAATTATGTTGTGCTATAGAACCATTAATACTCGAGTATACGGTAGTTCCGATATGGCTCACTTCCCTTTATACCAGGCGAATTTCGCGACCGGAAAGGAACACGTCTAATTCATGGTAAGAGTCGTTGTCGTGTATGATATGGCCACTCGCAGGATACTTGTATCTTTCAAACAGCTCGAAAACTGTGCCCCGGACGGGTGCGTTGGACTGATGAGACCTTCAAACTTTGTTGCTCGTTTTCCCTTCTTCCCTTCATGGCATAGTCGAGACCGGCACTAAGCACGTTCACACCCCCTACCGCCTGCCAACTGAGCACGACATCCTTGATGACCAGGACGGGCAGATGAAAGGAACTGAACACCATACATCTTGCTGCAGGTGACTAAGTTAGTTTCATGAGTAAGAAGGGGGAGAATACTAGTATCCAGGCCAGGTTAGGGAAAATATTCCAAGGTTTTTTAAGTCTGTTAAAGGACGCAGCTACTATGCTGACAGTACGCCAGTATATACTTGATGGCATAGGCCCCCTCGAGACCCCGAGGTGTTTTTCCTTCTGAAAATATGTATTACTCTCACAGGTAAGCAAGAGCCTGAATACTATGTTAATATAATTATTCATTTCCAATGTCACAGGCAACCTCCATGTCCTGGAAATGTTATCATAACATGGCAGGCAAATTTACCAATAATAAATAATAAAAGGGAAGTTATAAGATTATATAAACAGTATTAATTTATGAACTTACTCATATGATTACCAAAGACTTGCTCCAAGTCAGGGGTCTTGGCAAAAAAAAAGGCGCACAGCCACCTACCGTTTTTCCTCAACTTGGTGCACATTTTGGTCAAACATACCGGTACTTGTACGTTGTTTGCAACCTACATGATCACAAAAATCATTTTGTCATAAAAGTCTCAACCAAGCAGGCCCTAAAACATAAAAAAGAAGGCCACTTGCTAGAGGCGTTTTGCCGCTACGGTTTGATTGACTTTTCTTTGTCAAGGACTCCTAAGACAACAGTTGTCAACTTCAGAGCACCACCCAATAATGGAGGTTGCTCGAATAATAGATGATAGCAGGTATTAACCCCTTTCGCCCGTGTTTTGATTGACCGTTGAGCAAATAGACTACCGGTAACATTGTCTTCCCGAGGAGGGGCCTTGGAGAGCCACATCCATTTCCACAAACCGACAGCCCCCCAACGAAAAGTGTGGTTCGACGGCCGAGCCAAATCGCCTCAATCGGTACAATATCCCCTGATTGTACTAGTACAGTACGTGAATTTCCTCACCCCAACGACGATTCTACTCCCGTATGTGTGACCGATGGGTGTTTTACCAGCAAGCCTCACTGGTAGCTGGAAAGCATCAGCATTAAAGTTACCTGTAACAAGTGGTTCGCGGTCTCTCATTCGGCGCAAGGAAATGTACCTTAATGTAGGAAACCAACAGTGCTCGAGCGCCCAGTTAAAAAGCCCAGTTAAAAAAGCCCCATCGAGTGGAGGACAAAATACAGGTATGAGAGGCACTTGGTTCGCTAAAGCTGTGCAAGTGCACTGTGCACGAACTGAACTTATCCACCTTTTCCAAGATCCTACAATACAAGGATTATGGTAAGGAAACCAAACAACCAACATAAATGCGGCGACAAGAGCATATAATATGATATTCTACTCGTACAGCCATCCACTCGATGAGAAGCAATCTGTTAGCCAAATTAGATAATAGTTGTTCTTTCAATTCCCTGCTTGCTTGCAGCGTGTTCGCCCTTCCTAATCGGCCCCCACGATTTAGGTCCATGCATGGTCACTAGGAGATAACATTATCACTTACCGGTAGCCCGTCCAGGATTAGTATCCCCAAAGCATTGATGGCCGGTAGTCGAAAAAGAAAATAACACACCGATGAATAACAATACCCTATAAACTCGTGTTATCCACTCCTTCAGCCTGCAGCCGAATCTCCCTGTTCGGAAACAAAAACCCTTATGAAGGATTGGTGTTTTCCTCACATGGTAAAGCTTGTGTGTGCTGGCTCGTGTTGGATCTCATTAACTGGTATTCGCAATTCTATTAACTTGTCAAACCAAACCTATCGTGGGCTGGTGCTGGGATTTGACGGAGATTAGGGGTCTGGGGGAGATATTGGATGGCACGAGTATCTACAGTACCGGTACTGTATCATACGGGAAATCTAAAATCAAGAGCTTTTGAACTCCTATATGAACCTTTGCCTCCCTGCGACAAGATAGGCCGACTAGGATAGGGCCTAATGGGAACTTTTTCGCTTCGGCAACATTCTCAAAACGCCTCTGTGGAGCCAATTGCGAGTGGTTTTTTTTTAACTGCTAATAATAGGCAATACATTTCGACAGTAGGAGAGGTTCGCGCTTCGTTACCGTATTCTCTTCACGGCCAGACCCCCCCCCCCCCAGGAGCAGCGCCCAATCTGACTCAATCTTTGCTGTCCATACCCTGTGAGGACATGGGGTGAACTAGCCATTTGCGTATTCCCTGGGTAAATAGGCGGTGAGCCTGCCTTACGCTTCACATTGCCTCTCCATATAAACCTAGCCCGGCTCCCCCGGTAAGGAATTACTGCGCTGCGCTCGCACTCGCAAATACCCTCGAAGGTGGCACGCACCTTTCTACCACAATGGCGGAAAAAAGTCTTCTTCTTCGCATGATACCTAATGAGGTACTCCTCGTTATATCAGACAATCTCGGAACCACAGACATTAACGCTTTCGCCCGAGCTTGCCGCCGTCTCGCAAATATCCTAATACCGGTACTCTGCCGTATCGCCTGCAAGCACAGAAGCTTTAGGCTTCCGCCGATATGTTGGGCAGCACAGAAGGGATACATCAACGTCGTCAAGAGATTGATTGACATGAGTTGCGACACAACAGATCTTCAGCACTACTGTGACCGGTGCCGGCTCCCGCATACCTCGACAGCTTTACACTGGGCAGCCAAGGGTGAAAACGCAGAGCTGGTCACATTTCTCCTGGATAGGGGAGAGAACATCAATGCGGTTGATAATCGCAACGCAACACCATTGCATTGGGTTTGCAGCGAGGGTGGGACAGAGGTGGTCAAGTTGTTAGTTTCGCGCGGAGCCGACCTGGAGATTGAGGATTGCGACGGAGATACTGCTATCCGATGGGCGGCAGAAAGAAGCAACGCACCGGTTTTCAAACTCCTGCTCGATTCTGGGTGTAACAAAGAGCAACTAAACTTGAAAGCAGAAACAGTTCTGCATACTATCTTTCTACACGGGGAGGAGGATCTCGAAAAGCATGCCTGTGTCGTCAAAATGCTGTTGGAGCATGGCTTCGACCTACTCAGCCATAGAGATCAGTATGGCGATACGGCCCTCCATCTAGCAGCGAAATTCGGAGATATTGAGTCCATGAGACTCATGTTGGATCGCGGCATCCCAGTCGATTGGCATGGCCCACACAACTCCCCCGCACTGAACCACGCGATTGAAGCAGGGAAGTTGGAGGCAATAGAATTACTTCTCCAGAGAGGCGCAGATCCTAACAGTGCACCAATCATTCCGCTCGACCTAGCAGTCGAATACGGCCGAATCCCGGTAATCGATCTCCTCGTCAAACATGGGGCCAACGTGCACTGTCGCAACAATCTTGGCGATACCGTTCTCCATTGGGCCGTACAAAGCACCCAGGTCGGAGTTCTCGATTCCTTCCTCGGAAAACCCGAGCTCGGACTCGACGTGAACGTGCAAAACCGTCATCTTATCACACCACTGCACCGGGCATGCTTCATGGACCCGGCCCCGAATTGGGAGATCGTTGACCTTTTGTTGCAACAGAAAAACATACGGGTCGATCTACAGGACGACTACGGACGCACGGCATTGATCAATGCGTCGGAAACGGGGTCCATTCGATTAATCGAAGCCCTGATTGGCAAAGGCGCAGACGTGAATATCTGCGATCATCAGGGGAATTCAGCTCTGCAGAAGGCTCGGTGTCCACAAGTGTGGAAGGTGCTAAAAGCCGCTGGCGCTAAGGTATACGAGTGATTACATTACTCATCCCGACGATTTATTTACCTATTATGCTTTCATGTCTATCTGCTCCCGCTTCTCCAAACTGTGAATCAAAATGGTATCGATGTCTTCCTTTTTTCCCTTTTTTCCCTTCATTTCTTTCCCCGGTTCCTGTTCCCTTCTCAATTCGTGTATATGGGGGGCAATGCTTAACGAATTCATGCACGTAGATACCAGAGAGGCCGGTTCCAATCGTGCATCCAGTGCTCCTCCGAAGAAGTCCTTGTCATGGTGGGTTTCTTGGTCTGGCGTTTTTTGGACATGCTGGTCGCTCCGGTGGAAACCGGCCTCTCATAACATATAAGCACTAAGTTAACACTGTTTTGGCGGGTAGAAGTACTTGTATCAGTAGTGGGACGAATTGCATCGCTGAAGCTCGGGCTAGCAAATAAGTTACCACAGATCGAATTCCATCTTTTCCATGCCCCGGTCACTTCGTCCACACTACACCCCATCCTTTGTAATTTACCCGTAACCAAACGACGATTGTGAACACGACCACTATTGCATATTGCATGGCGCTAGGATATAAACGAGAGAAACCGAAATTCTCACGGTAATGCGATCCCGTAGCAGCCGTGTTCGTTCAATTCCCACCCCAACGAACACCAGAGAACCATCCAGGCAGTAAGAACAGCTCACATGGGACAAAGCACCAAATGCTCGCACAGGGCACTCGCTGCACCAGTAGCCCACCCCCACAAAGTGCTCAACCAAAACCCGTCCATACCCAGACTCGCCACAAGTGCAGGTACCTCCGCACAAGCGTCCAATACCTGCACTTCACCTCAAACATTGGTCAAACCCTCACCCACTCGAACCAATACTCTCCCCAGAACACATGCAAACAGAGCATGAAATTCCCAACCATCCAAGAAGAACCATTGGGCAGCTTTTTATATAAGCTACAGGGGTCAGGGGCAAAAATAATGGGACCACATGCTCAATCCCAGTCGTAACCCGAGAAACATCATTCTACAAGTAGAGGGTCTCTATTTTCGCTTCATTCAACCCCAAAGAAATAACTGATGAACGAGGTGCCTGGGCTCCGATTCAATTCTCTTTTCTGGACTCTTGTTGAGGTACGGAAGGTTTGCGTTTCCAGGCGAGCTGGTAGAAGTGTGCAGTCCCAGCGTTGGTACTTGTACGAGTACGGTATCACTTACCATTACTCGAGTACGGTACCGGTACTCGTACTGTACAAGTACAGCGCTCCTGCCCAAAATCAATATCCCTGCTCCTTACGGCTTCTTTTATCCTTGACCCTTGCAAACAAATCAATTCCATCAGATAACAACAATAACCGGTATGTTCAATCAGTGTTGCTAAGAAGGCGTTTGGTCGAGCCGGGGGGATTGGATCGGGGATTCTGAAAATTCGAATCCATGGGTGGGTTTCTTTGGTCTTAGTAAGCGATAAATAGTTGGGGATATTTATTGGCCAGAAGCGGGTGGGGGGGGGGGAAGTACTCCAGCATTATATAAATTAGAAAAGATTCCAGCGCAAGCAATAATCCTAATCGGTTGATTTGAACCCAACACACCCCCATCTCTGGATTTTCTATGATCAGGGAAAAAAGGTTGATACCACAGCATCTTCTACTTGTATCGTCTTTGGTATCAGCGGGATGAGCGAACGTACTGTGCAGTACACTTTTGATTGTGTATTCGAGTATACTACGGTAGTTTATTTGTGCATACTATTACTACCGGTATAGTACCGTACACCCGCATTCGCAAAGTTCTCGTACACTTACAAGTGCCCCCCGTCTTTGGAAACGCTCTGCTAACCCTCTCCCTTATTATTCGGCAAAATAAATTGTCTTAAAAAATTTACAGTGCCCCTAGAGTCAAATCTAAGAACAGTCAGTCAAAAAGGCTTTTCTTGTTCTCTTGTTGTTGGTCGGCACAGTTCCTGAGGTACGAAGGCGGCTATACATGCCTTCAAAATATAGCAGTTTTTTGTTTTTGTTTTCATAAGGGGTTTTATCTTATCCCCCCCATTTCCAGAAGCGCATTCAAGTTCCTTCGATCATCTTTTAATCTCCCCCCCCTTCTTACAATACTGAGTCTAATAATAAATAACCTTCCCCCTAGTTCCGATAAATCACCTCGCTAAAATCAGGGCACTTTTGTCAAAACAAGATCTTATCCATGAGTGATTAATCATAACCCTATCCTCGTCTTGTTCAACGCAAAGTTCGGTAGGCGTTCACCCCATAACTTTCTGCATTCTATCGCGAGCAACAATCTAGATGAGACTTTAGTATGATAGTGTTTTATGTTCACAAGTAGCTAGAAAGCCAACACCTAGTCAGTTATCTAGGCACCCTTCAGTACGAGTACAGTACTAAATCCACACTCTCATGTTTGGGTATTTTTCGCCTGTTCCCACAACTTTCGCACAATACCCGTACGGTACACACACACACACTACGCTACTTTATCGGGAAACCGCTCAAAGGCTATTTGATTACCGTACAGTAATAATAAGAGATGGGAATCTCAAATCAGCTGGAAGTTTCCCTAGCCGTCTCGCTGCGGCAGTATGGTAAATCAGTCAAGTGTAAATCCGCACCTATTCCGCTATCCACTGCTGTATCGGGAATGGGGAAACACCGACTGGTTGCCTGGCAACCAGACAGATAGGGTACCCGGCTTTCAGCCGTAACTTCAGGTGTAAACACATGACCCCTGTCAGGGCGGGGCAGGTGAGTAACAAGCGGCAGAAAGAGAGGTTCTTTCTTGCCTGCAAATAATAAAGTCTTCCTTCTCTCTTTCCCCCCTCTATTCCCCCTCTCTTGCATTGACAGATTTCATTCACTTTGTTTTTTTTTTTAAAAAAAATGCGACGAATCCTCAGCATACGAACAATTTCTACAGTACTTAATATTCTCTCGTGGATACTCCTCCTCCCGCCAGCGATTCAAGCCTTGCCACTCGGTTCGCTCATCCCACGCGCAACCCGGAAAGAGGTGACAGTAACCCGCGATCGGGTATGCCTTAGCCCTGCACCGTGGACACAGATACTCTCTTTCTTCCTGACAAACTACATCGCGAGAATCGCAACGTTCAAGAAGACCTCCGGGTACAAGGGATCGAGGGACCACATACGCACAGCAATAAGTCTATTCGTGCCATTTTACGGTATCTCGCAGGCTGCCGAGACGATCGCTCGGGGGGCGCGTTTTTTGGGTCGGGACGAGCTGGGCGGGGCGCTACATGCTGGGGCGTTGTGCGTCATGCAGAGATTGGAGAGTTGGAGACCGAGGAACGGCAATATCGTTTGTGGGTGCATTATTGAGCCGCCGCCGAGTAGAACAACGGGGAGGAAGAGGAGGAGGAGAGGGAGGAAGAAGAAGGATCTGTATGTTACTATATTGCGAGACAATTGAATCCTAATAGAAGACTTACGAACCGGTTAAAACAGGGCTGATACTGGCGAGGCAATAATCCTGATCCAACTCCCAACCATGAAACAGCTCGATGACCCTACAAAGTGGAATATACAAGGCCAATACCGCCTCCCAGAAGGCTACTGTTTCTCCTTCCTTCCAGCGGGTACCTCCATCGGCCCTATAAACCCCCTCACAAAGCGCGAAGACATAGTGATCGCCTCCTCATACGGCACAGCAAAGTCCTTCACTGGTGTCCTCCAAATACTTATCTCAATCTTCACACTCTACTCCTCCTCTTCCGACCAAGTCAACCTATACGGCTATGCTGCCTTCGGCTTCAGCGTTATCCCCTACACGATCATGTCTTTTCTCAACGCGATCGCGAATTCAATAGAGGCGGATTACGATACGCTGTTCATGGTCGAGTCGGAGGTTATGGTTGAAGCGTATAGGCGCACCAACGAGGAGTTCATTGGTGCGGTTGCCGTGTTGACGCCCGACTATGATAAGGAGGGCGTGGACTTGCAATTTCGGAGGAGTAGGGAGCATGGTTGGAGCGCGCACGAGCTTGATGATAACGGGAGGGAAGTCGGAAGGAGCTGGCGGGTTACGTTCCAGGAGGAAGAGATCGAGAACAAGGATTTTTCGACGCCAGCGAGGATTAATGATAATGCTGCTAGAATCATGGTTCCAGCCGAGGGACAGTACCGGCGGAAGAAGAAGGTTGTCAAGTCTAGTCAGAAGTTTTATAACTTCTCTGTCTTCATTATCGTTTTCATCTCGCTCATCATTCCTTATATCGTCCTTGGCAGTCTCAGCCATTTCAAGGCCGCAGACAGCACGGCGAGACAGCGCACGTTCATGATGGGCTGGTTGGTGGTCGGTCAGGTTATTGGCGTGGTGGACTTGATCGAGTCCACTGGTGGTGGGAAGAAGCGGTGGTGGGATTTACTGGAGAATTCTATCAAGCTAGTGATCGTTATTGCGGGATTTGCATTTGCCGTTGGGGGGTTCATCGAGGCGGGGAGGATGATGAGAGCTTTTGGTTTTTGTTTTAGGACTTGAGGCCGATTGCAGCTATTGCTTCTTTCCCCTTCGTCCTATTTTTGTCTTTTTTGGCGTTGGTATGGATTTCTGGTTTTTTATGATACCCGGTTTGGAAAATTGGAGTGGGATGCCCTTTCCTTCTTCCTCTGTTTTTTCTTCTTATCCATTGTAGAATCGGTTTAAGTTGGGAAGGGGGGTTAATCTGCGTACGTTGACGGAATTGTCATGTTAGCTCTAACCTGAATGTGCTTTAATCAATTAATGATTCTGGCTCACAATTAACTTAGGGAGAGTTTGGCGCGCCGCGACCTGGATGATTTCAAATCACATGTCAAATCCTATACCACGACAGACTTAAATCATAACCCTAGATTCGTGGTTCACGACATGATACCAAACAGCACGATATCACACAGAGTTGGGATTCTGGTTGCGCTTTCGATCATTTATCTTGATTAGTGCTGAAATTCCGAACACTATTCTTCGCACTTTCGTTTGATTCCCAACTCAATCTGATCCGGCTCTTGCACAAAAATTACCTAGCATAACGGTACTCGTTTCGGAATTGTTATTTTTCCCAGTCATCATACGATGGCTCGATCGGACCTTGAAGGCCCTAAGCAACTTCCCCATCGGGATAACACTGCAGGTAAATTAGGTCAAATTCCTTGAATCAAGGTCTCCCCAAATACCCCCCTTAGCCTTTCTCCCTCTGTTGGGCGAGTTGCCTTGATGTGTTGTGAGGTGGGAGTGCTGAACATCTGGCTATCATACCTAGCTTACGATACTCCTTGGTATCATACATCGCGGTTGGTTCAGGAAAGGAAAGTTATCAATACGCGTGGGTGCCGCTTATCGGTGTGAGTGGGACGGTCTTAGGCGCAGGTATTGGGCAAGGAATAATTTATCATAGCAACGCTCTGCGCCGCACGGTACTGTGCCTCTGTCCATACTACCGTATTACGCAGGTGGTCACCCGTCTGTACCACACGGAATACCTACTGGGAAACTGATAGAAACAGATATACTGACAAGTCAAGAGCCAGAATAGATAACAGTTGAACAGATCGAGGTACTTGAGGGCATAAAGTGATTGATCCCTTCGGATAGGACATATTATTGCTAAACCCTCGAATTCATCTTCTTAAAAAGGGGAATGAAAAAGAAATAAGGGGGGAGGGGGGGAAGAAACAAACTTCCCTCGGCGACTGGACAAAGTCTCCAGGGTACGGGTTTTCTATCCACAGGCCCAAGCTGTGATACAACAGTTCCTGAGGAGTCTGATATCGTGAAGTTCGTAGTCCTTTTGTTTTCATATTTTCGTGGCTCTCCACATGGTGCAGACCTCGACTTTCCCTCATTCTGTTTTTCTACCCTCCCCAGCTCGGGAATGTAAACCCTCTCCTGTGTTCGATATATTTACTGCACTGGCACCACCGGAGCCGCATACGACCGGATCTGTGCATGCGGTAAGCAAATTTTTCTCATTCTCTCAAGAATCAACGAAATCTACAGTACCTCGAGTGACAGCCGGTGACTAACACTCCAGTCAGATCATCACTGGTGACTTGAAAGCTGGACGAAATGCCCCAAACGAGATTATTATCATTAATTAGGAATACCGTATTGCAGGTATACGCTTACGAATGTAGTTGTGCCTGATAGCGCTTGACGTACATCTAGGACCACTCCGAATTCTACTAGTAGATTGCTCACCCCCAAACTTACATCCCCCGACCACCCACACTCCCGCCATGACTGTGACACCCCTCCACACAAGGAGGGACTCCGCCGTCTTATCGGTGGCCGATGTCCGAAATTCCTCTTCCAGTGAAGATGGGCCTTCTACTATGGTAGACCTGGAGTTTAATGATACAACATCATCATCCAGAACTTTAGGCCGAAAAAAAGAATTCCAGACCCACTCGTCAGCAGCGTGGGTCTTTGATCCCACCGTAATATCTGAAAACACCTAGCTAGCACAATTGCCAAGATGTCAAGGACCAGTCAATACCAGTTTGTATTGGATGATCATTCACCTAGTGCAGAAAAGCAACAAATCCTGCTCTATGAGGACTAGGAGATTGAAGACCTTAGCTGCCCTGAACAAGCCTGTATGCTTTCGGCCATATGTGATGGTATAATAATCCCATCAGTATAGAGTTTGTTGTATCAGGAGAGTGAGAGAACATGATTGTCAGTATGCTGAAGTGGTAGGGCTACTGTGTGGGCACAGTCCCAAGTATTGATGTGATTAGTGTGTGGATGGCAGCTTGGCATGTCCACAACTTTGTATATAACATTATAATTATAGAGGTAGATCTCCACTCACAAATGTTAAAGCTTTTCCTGGACTTCCTCACCTCCGTTATACTTTTGCACTAGACCCCGTACCAGTGTCGGTGTTGCTCGCACATCTCGCCTCAATTACCAGTTGAGCAACAGAGTGATCCTTTTCACCACCATCAACATGGACGCAGAACCAAGACGGATATAGCGGGGGACTCCTTGGCATCAATCATTAGGGATAAGACGAGTCTGTGGTCACACCGCAATGGTAGGTGGAGTATCATCATGTATCATATTTTGTATATTTATTTTATTTTGCTAGGGTTAAAAAATACCGTAAAGGAGAAGGGAAATTTACATCAAAAAAATGAGGGCAATAGCGAGTGACCACATCATGCTCCCAGATTACAAGACCCTATACACTCCCGAGGGATTTGTACTTTCTAGAGAGTTGGTTCTTGCAACTTTCTGGTGCTCAGAGCTGATACCACCAGAGCACTAGGCATCGAATATGCGCCATGCCCCAGTGTGATATTTCCGGATGGGAATCTTTGGCAGAAGAAATGATGTCGGTGTCATGCTACAAGACACAAAAGAAAACCCCACTCAACATAAGGCAGATCTCAACTTAGCCCCGTCTTTCCCCGGTGATTAAATCAATTTGTGGGATACCATAGCCGAAAAAGGGAAGACGAGGCAAAAACTGGAAAGAAAAAGGTTCTCTCTCGATCCCTTTCATTTCGAAAAGCAACCTCAATTTCCGAATACTATTATTTATTTATATATCCACTTCCTCTCATATCCCGTAGCATAATAACCATGAGAATCCGAAAGCAATCGACAGTACATTAATAATCCTGTAGATAATATGGGGAATATTATATAAAGAAACAGAGAAAATGCCATCTTAGTATGAGGTAGATTATAGTACAAGTAGATAGGAATACAAATATTAGGAGAGCCATCCCCGTTACTGTAACACTCCGCAGGTCAGCCACCCCCGCTAATCCTAAAGAAACCTAAACAAAACTAAACCCAGGATACAATTTAAGGTATTGGACTGAAGAAAACATAGCCACTTCTACGTCCCTCAATACTCTCCAAAACTCCTCAGAAACGTAAGAACTGTCTAATGATAGTGTTCGTAATTCGGTGCCCCTTTCCAGCTGCGAGAATACAAACATAAGGTACCGAATCTTTTCATAAAAATTCGGATTGGAGTTATTGACAACCAAACTAACAAGGAAACCCCCAACTCACCACACCTCACTCGCGCGGCCGACTCGAAGCCGCTCACCCAAAGCCAGTAGCGATCGCCCTGCCAATAGGAACTGAAGTGAGACGACACGTGAAGTACTGAACCCACTCTACCCATGAATCCATAAATCGAGTGCACGAGAGGTTTTCACAACGTTTCTTCACGGCTGAACTCGTAAGTCCCAATTCCAGAATTGATCGACGGCATATGACAGGGGGGGTCAGGTAGGAGCTATGGTTGTACTGGAGTTCCCCCCTGTGATTATGAAGTGGACATCTCCGCGCTACCTACCGAACCCAGAATAGCATCTAATATCATAAGTTACATTAATTCATAAGTTAGAGGCCCGACGACCGTTGCCAGATTTTGGGTGCGTAAGTGAGCAAACAGCGCAATGCAATTGAGTAGGCCCCCAGCGTGAGCCCCCACTTTTACAAAGAGATACGGTACCCGAGTAACAGTATCATCGAGAATTGGCCGCACAGGAACAAAACCCAGTCGAGAAAACAAGGATAAGGCTGATCTCCCTCCCCGCCCCTCCATAATGGACTCTCTTTTGCTATTATGGTAAAGTACCAGGTCAAATCGTTTCGTCCGGTGATGCAACCACAACTCCACCACCACTATAAATTTACTACCTAGGCAACCACAACTACCCAGAATGAAGTGAAAATTTAGTTAGAGATTCAATAGATATAAGAAAATTCTCATGTGAAATTATAGAATAAAAAAATCAATACTTTGTGTACCATCCCTTTGCATCTAAAACAGCAGCCACTCTCCTAGGCATAGACTCTCACAGCCTTTCCAAAAAATCCCCCTCTATATCATGAGTCCAAACCTCATTAAGAGCTTCTAGACCACCCTTAGTCTTATGAATGTCAGGAAAGCACTAGTGTAGCTTTTCCTTTACCCTCTTCCAACAATGCTCAATAGGATTTAGATCAGGGGAATTGGGTGGCCATTCCATAACTTGTATGTTGTTTTCCTCAAACCAAGCCATAGTATCCTTTGCAGTATGTATCTTTGCACCATCCTGCTGAAATATAGGATCCCCAACTGTGTCCTCCACCTCCTGCCAGGTATCAACTAAACCATCTTCCAAAACTCCAATATATACAAATCTATTCACACTCTTCTCAAAAATGGGAACCAGAGGACCTTTATTTTTACCCCAAATACAAGCCCAGACTATCAGCTTTATCCCAGGACCTTTTGTAACCCCATGAATGCAGTCCTTGTGCCACTTTTCCTCAGGTGTTCTGAATACCCAAATACTCTTAGGATTTTTGGAATTTTCAACCATGCATTCATCACTAAAGATGATACCCTCAAAGTCCTCTTTTGTCCAATCCTTATGCTCCATACCCCAAGCTAATCTCTTGACAGCATGCTCATCTTCCAGAAGAGCTCTCTTCCTTGCTCTCCACTTCTTTATATTGACCGATGCCAAAGCTCTCTTGACAGTACTCAGAGAAGCATATGGTGTAATATCATTGCACAATTATGACAAGGTTTGGTGGTGTGCCTTCTTAGACTCTCTGGCTAGGTGGCAGCAGGTTCTGTTATCGATAATTTTGTGTATTCCTGGTGATGGAAGGTTTTTCTCATCACCCCTCTTTTGATTGCACTTATGAAAACTGAGAACTGTACTCTTTGAACAGTTTAAGAGCTTTCCAATTTCAGCAAAAGAGAATTATTTTTTTCTCAAAGCAACAATTTGCTTTTTCTCAAAGTCTGTGAGATGGCCGGTCTTTTCAGAAGGCATTGTTGTTGAGGGGTGGTTGATTGGTGGGGTGGGGTTTTTTGAGGTGTTGTTCGGTTACCACTGATCAGACAAAACAATTTGACCTAGTACTGTACTAGTGGGTCGTGGACCTCAACACTATCAATCGGAATCGCTGTATCCACATGCACCCGCAAACCCATCAGCGATGAGGAGTCCGGATGATCTAATTGCTTGTTTCGGCCCTGATCTCTAGATACTGCATGATGTCCCTGAGGCCTTTTAAACTATGCCATGAACAGGCCGAAGCTGCGGGTGCATGCCACATCCTACTCAAGCAGGATATGACGTTTGAAAGCAAGCTCCACTCCTCTGCATCGTATAGTTGTCATAATCAGCTAACAGCGAGATTTCCATTGTTGCGGGATTCGGAAACAGTTGGCCTCCAGGGATAGGGTTGAAGTGGAAAGAAGTTGCCTAGAATTTTCCTCGTTACCAATAACTCTATCTGGTTTCGGAGGAGCTGAGATGACGGCGGAAGAGAGAACTATTGGGCAGCAGTGACCAGTGTACGTGAAGAGTATAGTAAGTGAAATCTACTTGGACAGTCTTGTGGGATTCACTATTGATAATTTCCGTGGAACCTATGAAAATGGTCTTCACAACTCAAGTCTTCCCTGTGTTTTGTCTCCATCCATAGCTTCAAAAAAAACTTTCACCTTGAGAGAACACTGCAGCTTCCTGGAAGCAGATCACTCCTGGTTTGGATAATTACCCAGGTAAGTTACAGTACCTTTAAAAGGCTGGTAAGCCTAAGATACTTGCATCAACAAGACAAGACAAGCAAGTTTATCGAGAGATCCGAGGTCAGGGTTGGTTTGCAGTTTCTGTATTATGATACTTAGGAGCTTGTTTATCAAATTTCCAAGGCTTTTCGAGAAGCGGTGGATTCCACTGCCAAAAGTCGTTGTTTTTTTGGCTTTTTTCTGCTGCATCCTGCTCCGGTGTCAGTTGAAGGATGATACCGCCGATCACAGATGTCAGGTGTATTTATGCAAGGGGATGTGCAAGCTTTAATACGACCTCGCAGCGCGTACAGTACATATGCAACCAGATAATATAGGAGTACTTGTATTGATTGCGGTACAATCCTCCAATAGGGGCATGATGAAAACCAGCGGGGGACAAACATGGGTGTTTGGCAAGGAAAAAATTAAAATTCGTCCAAACGGCGCAACAAGGGAATAATTGTGAGTACTTAGGCACTAATATAATATTGTAGTATTATATTGAATACAGATCCCCGTTCGTCACCCGCTAGTTTTCGCTGTAAGTCGCCCCCGCGTGCCAAGATCTGATCTGACCCCGCACACGCCCCAGCTTTTGTGAGTTGGAGGCCGGAACCCGACCTCCACTCCAGCATGCTTCAGTAGTCAGTTTAGTCTATCGTACTGTACATAAAAATGCCACACTTCCTGATTGAGGCGGTCCCGACTTTCGCCAACCCCGCTAGTCCCTCGGTCACTTGTTAGGAGAAGAAAGCGTTGCATCCTTGGCCAACCTGCCAAAATTACAATCCACTGCAGGTGCTGGCACCGTACCCTACTTGCTCCAGCAGGAATCGATTGCAATTTCAACATGGCGCTCAATCGCGCATCGTCTTGAATGACAGGCCGATGGCGGTCTACGGTATGAGTACCGACACTCTAGCATATTCTAGTCTAGAGGGAAACTTCTATCCACTAGTCGCGACACCCGACGGAGAAACGACCGCAGAAGAACCTTATTCAACGCTTACATGTCCGTCGCGAAACAAACCCCGATTTCTAACTCCCTCACCCGCAGTAGCAGACTCCACAATCACTCGTCTCGGATTAACAACACAAGCACGAATCGCTCCCGAGGAAGGGCTTTTTTATCCAAGAGTTAGAAACCAGTACCTGCGGCATGACCGCGAGGTGAAAGGGCTCGGGCCAAGTGGGGTCACCTCTAGCTCATTAGCGGAAAGGAACAGCTGACGAATCCAAAGACATCCTTCCTCTCCCCTCGCTGTCGGGCAGGCTCTCTCCATTTCGCAAATGGGATGAATCTGAATCCCTGCGGTCCACTCAGCCCTGACTAAGGCCAACCTAAAGCCCCCAAGGGTGTATGTGTATCTCCTTGATTCGGAAGAGGCACTTATGACCCCAGAATGACAGGGAAACAACTACTCGTATGCTTTTTTTCTTTTTCTTTTTTCATCCGGCCCCGCCCTGCAGGTGATATATGAAAGGACAATTCTCACGAAGCTAAACCCACTACATCAATATCACACCAATAACTTGTTGGTATATATACGCTTGATAGCCCCTCCGCCTAAGGCCGAGATGAGCCCCCCGACATCGTCATCACAGGTTTGATGCTTCACCACCTTTTTCCCTACAATTCTTATACAAAAGGAAAACGGTCCCAGGTGTTGTAGCCACAGCTACACTTATTCTCATCGAATGATATTCTGATTTCAGACTCAAAAAATCTTATCCTGTCCTTAAAATCAATCGACATCCCCCACTATGCAAGCCAATTTTCAATTACTACTATATTTTGCCTTGTTCCGTTGCAATATCCTTCTCGTCTCTGGCCATCCAGTATCACCAGTTGATTCCTCCACCGCCGCATCCCCAGGGTATGTTATATCAGAGCTTCATAGCTTGCATATTTACTAACATGATACAGGGACTTCTTTCCCAACCTAATATTCTCCGCACGGCGCTCTATCCTACCCCGCAAGGATAATTCAACAGCCTCTTCTACCTCCGGCGGAAATGACAATTCTGGAGATCGAAATCATTTACTACAGGCAAACCTGACAGCAGCCATCGCCGTTGCCGCAGGTCTTGGGGTTTTATTGATCCTTGTTGGGTTAATGAGCGCATTCCGCATGGGTTGGTCTAGAGGGCTTGAATATCAGGCGAAGGCGAGACGAAAACTCACCTCAACAGGATCAAGCGACGCTACCACTGATCCTACATTTGTGCCTTGGCAAGGTGAAGCACCAATCATTCGTGGAATGTCAGAGCGTGATATTCATAGCCCTTGTGTTGTAGTTAGCGGCCTCGGTAGGCACAGCTTCAGGCCCGGGAAGGGTGTTTACGAGATTCGTGACGGGCCGGTCCAGGGAGCGATCAGGAGTGTTGTGGCTGTGGATAAGGGCAAGGCAAAGGATATTGGGAATTGGTGATGAGCCACTTTTTTTTTTCAATTTTTTTTTTTTTTTTTCATTCATACTTAATCACATTGGGAAGGCGCAAGCACTCGAGTATCTTATGGCGCCACAGGGGATCGATCTTATGGAAGTGTGCAGAAAAGGGGGTGGGTGGATCGGAGTTTTAGCGGGTTCCCCTTTCAGTCTATTAGCCTTTCGTTAACACTGACTTTTTTTCTTTCTTCTTGTTTATTCGGGTATAAAAAACGGAGTCTTGTATTTAGTGAGCATAATAATTATATTCGAAAGTCGGATCTCATACAGTACCTTTCAATTAATCCCCCTCTAGAGCGCTCGTGTACTAGTACTAGTACTGCACAGTACCAAAATAGGTTGCCAAAACAATAATGAGGTTGGAATAGTGTACGTACTAGTACTCGTACGCCAGAGTATGGGAAATCCCGAGAACAAGAATACGGTAAGAGAAGCTCCCGTATGTGCCGTATAGCCTACAAACTACCGGTACGAGTACTGTATGAGACGCTTCAAATTTTACGAGGAGAAAAAAAAACCACACAATACGGCACAATCATGTAGCAATTCCTTGTTGATGTTCAGAGTGGATCGACCTGGTAACCCTTGGCACCTTGTACTGTACCACCCCTGCGGCCACTTTTCCCCGGAGTTCCCCAGGGAACCGGAAAAATGTTGAGAGCAATCAATCTTGATGAGCAAACTCTCCGGTCCGGCAAATGCTTCTCGTAGCGCCTCCTATCCGGATAACCATGGGCGGCGGCTATGAAACGTCTACCGACAATGCCAGTTCGAACATTCAGATTACTCGAAGTTTAAGTGCCGTCACTTGTGCGGTGATAGGGCAGGGCTCTAGCATAACTCACTGGTTCGGTATGCACACATCAATGCGGACGCTGCTCTTGGCGCAGTGGAAAAAAGCTACGGCACCCTCGAGAGAATGGCAAGTGGGTGTTCCGAAGCACCGCCAGATACTACCGCAGTGTTCGCCCCGAGGTGGGGATTCTCGAGGGCAACGAGTCCAGCTGTTTGACAATGCAAGGGGCATCCAGAATGAATGAGATTGACAATCTTCGAGGATTTCTTGACTAACAATCTTCAGAACCAGAAAGAACATGAGTGAGTTTTGATGAAGGGGTTAAGCGAGAATCTGAGAAGATAGTGAGACATAACAGAGTGGTCCAAGCACTTCGGATCCGCCAAGTTTCGAACCACAACTTTGTATATGGATTGAGGTAAAAAAATTGTTCCCCTTTCCATCCCGGCGCATACAATCCCAAAACATCCTCGACGGGAAAGTCTAGAAGTAGTTTGAGATGGTATTAGAGAGGACTAGTCCTAACATCTTTACCTTGTTTCAGGCATCCAGGACGATATACTGTATTGGGGTGTTGCCCGCGGTGAGTTCCGGCACCGAGCGCAGGGGTGTTGGCGAAGTTGAAGGGGTGAAGGCGAAGGAGGGTTTTTACATCCGGAAATGCGCACTATTACCGGTATTAATAGCGTTTCTCGAATCGTCATGTCTCATTTTGACCTCTTTTTTTCCATTGACCATGCTCCAGTTACATGATTTTTAGAATCAAGTATCCCTGTGCAGAACACTACTAGATACGAACCAGAGCAGAGACCGGGCAAGAAATCATGGAATAGTTATTTGAGTTTATCCAGCCATACCTATCCTCACTAGCTAGCTTAATGTTTTCTACCCCTATAAGCTCTGCTTATCCAAAGGCGCAGGGGGGGGGGGTGATGGAATAAGGCAGATGTCAACAGTTCGTAAGTTACCGAAATAATTACTCTTTCGGTTTGAGTGTCAAATGGCGAAATTTCCCTCGATTTCACACCCCACCTGCCGAATTGGTCTAGGGTGTAATTGGGCAGGTGATAATGTCAAGAATTGTGGTTTTACTTGTGACTTAGTCACTGAACCTCACTCGGCTTTTTTCTTCTTTTGAGTGTTTTTATATCGTACTATAATATACTAGAGGCTATTCCTCCCCTACAGGAACCCTTCCTAATCGCTCCGGATGTTCGGATCCTCAAAGATTTAAAGGGGAAATAGAGCTAACTCAGCTGAAGCCCGAGCCTCCCACTGCTTCAACACGTCTCTCAAAACCCGCCCTCGGAAGAATCACTCCAGAACCAGAATACCCCCTGCGAGCAACAGCAAATCAGTGGGTTGTATTATAAACGAGCGGGCACAAAATCCCACGCCAGTCTCTAAGAGAAAGAAAGCTTCTCAGCATTGAGGGTTAGAAGATATCAGGTTTTGTAAGGCTATTTTCATTTTCGGCGCTCACTCCCTAGAGTGGAACAGCGAAAGTGAGGTGTAGTGAATATTGCCTGTAGATAGCCCCTGTGCCATGGTGCTCTGGGGCTACCTTACATCCTGAAGAACAGCGCTCCAGAAACGAGAGGAAAACCAAAAGGCTGAAAAGGTGGACATATCACGCAAGTCAGACTTGTCACAAGTGTCCGAGTGCTGTGTGAGTGTGACTAATGCAAGCTCCCCGAGAGCAAGAGGCAGTTGGAAGCTATTTATTAATTTTGAAGCAGGTCTGAGGCCTTTGGCCTAACGATGCCCAGCTCCTCACAGGGTGGAGGTCTAATGTGAAGCTCACTTTTGCACTTTCAACCAAGTCAAAGATACCTATTAACTCAGATTTTTCTCTCCCCTTTCTTTTGGTTCTTCCTTCCACTCTGCCTGGCCTGTTGGGGATTCCTCATTTCTGCCAGGTCCAGGACGGGAGGGCAGAAAATGTCTAATCTGATAGATTACTAGATCAGACTGAACCTTTCAGATGGTGGTTGTAAGTTATAATGTTGTATCATACATAATAAGAGAAGAGATATAATACAACCACAACTATTGAAACAAATAAAATTAAAAATTTCACCATCTGATTGTAGGGCGTTCAGCTCTCCGGCAGTAGTGCAAGCTACTTTGGACTAATATTAACAGACCCCCACAGACCCCCGAGCGAAAAAAACGAAGAAAGCGAGAGAGAATAGTCCAAGTTCCTCTCCAGTTTTGCAAATTGTAATGCCAACCGAGGAGAGACAAAAGGGGTGGAACGTATTCAGAAATTCACATGGAATGTAACTTAACGTACATTTCTCACCCGAGGAATTCATGGGCCCGTGCATCCATTACGGTATACAGTGCCCAAAACTAGAAGCTGATCAAAAACCAGTCTGCTTCTGCTATGATAGTAATTGCTTTGTTTATCTGGCATTACAGCTGTTTGTTCGTGTGTCTTAATGTTCCCTTGGGGTCCTAGAGTGTTGTTTTTCAGTCACTTCCGGTCAACGCTGTCGTTACAGAGCACTCACTTTTAAGATACAGGTGGAATGGTTGGTTTGTACATCATGCGTATAGATGATTACTCTACGAAAGTTATGAGCAAGAGACGGGCAAGACTGCCAGGTTTCTATCGGGGTGTGCCGTGGGTGATGCTATCGGGGGGCGGCCATCTTTGATACCGCATTTTGTGAGAGGCAGAATACCAGAGGGCACTGAGCAGAAGTTTCAATGCATATCATACCTAGGGAAGAGTGCTCTAAAAAAATTAGAAATTAAAACTAATCTAGAGAAGGAAATGGAGAAAATGAGCCTACAGGTACTAAAAGGTGATGAATGATGTTGCACTGTATCATACGAATGAGAGACCAAAAAGAAAGAGAAATAATTGACCAACAAGGTTGAAGAAAAATTTAAAGAGGAAAGTAGGGATTATGGGTCATATTCCACCTAGAAGTTAATTCCTATTCACGTTCGTGCATGAGCTTGAATTTATATATCAAACATAGAACAGCAACACTTTTTTCTCTCCACATCCATTCCGCATGAATATATAGCAATCATCTATAGGACGATAGTGATGGAGCGGCTGATCTCTCATCTGAGCCCTACAACCGAAGACTCGAGAATCTTTGAATGGCTGAGCAGGCAATTTTCGATCTTGACAGGGTGCTTTAAGGATTAGCTCAATATCAACACTAGTCTGAGATTCTCGGGGACCTGCACTGTTCTCCCCACCCCGAATAATGAGATCTTTTAATCACCCGGTGATATTGATATACACGTTCTCACCCATTTCTGCTTCGTCCACGGTCTACTCAGTCGGTCCGATTAATTAGCCTAATGACAGAAGAGAACAAGCAGTAGAGATGGCGTGGAAAATCACTCTTATGCATCCACAACTTCCCATTCCAGTCTTTAGTCATAACTTCCGCTGTACCGATTAGATCGTTCCAGTAGCCTCTTTGTAGGTGGTATCCCGATACTGCCAGTTCGCCGCGTTGGCCAACGGGGAGGACTTTGGTGCGGTCGGTGGAGACCACTTTTGCTCTATCGGTGAACGTTAGCAGGAAGATGAGGGGGGTGAGGGGGCGCACTCGGTGTGTGGCATTAACCTGCCAACACTATCCACCCGCTCCCCAAGTGGGTCATCGTTGGTATCATAGTCATCCCAGAAACCGGTGAAGTTTCAGTGATCCTACACAGAGCAGATAGAGAACACTTGTGTACATTTGGTTAGAATGTAGATCAAGCGTTGAGTTTCTTGAATACACTTCTGCGCTGCCCCGTGTAATGCTGCAACCCAATGATTTATTCATGGTTTCTTTCTTACACTGCACCTTAACCAGTGTTCCCAACGGGCCAGGCCGCTCGTAGGCCGGTCTATAGGCGGGACACTTAGCATTGAACAACTGTTACCATGGAAACCATGATGTCAAATTTAGAAAAAGTTTGCAAACACTTCGCATTTGGTTTCTTTCAATTTTAATTGCTTTCTTCTTCATCCTGGGGAGCCATATAAGGGGTTTAGATTTGGTTCACTCACGAGAATGTGTATGGCTACCTATAATTTGCCAGGGTTTTTAACTTGTCCTTTCCACTAGAAATAAACCATTTGGGACAGGTGCTACTACGAGTACCGGACCGCGTAGTAATGCATAGAGAGGATTCGCTAGGCAGGTGAAAGCTTGGGAGAACGTCAGTCACGTTGAACAGAAGTTAAAAACAAAAGGGAAGCAAACATCTGGCTAAGCGAGCTCCAAAAGGCAGGTAGTACAAAGCCTCTGCTCACAGCTTATAGGTAGGCCGGGCCGGGCACGGCTCAGTTACTTCGAGGCCTATAGGCTCAGGTCCGGCTAGATCCTTGGGAATTCTCGTAGGCCAGGCCCGGCTTTCCTTCGGCCTGGCCTACCTAGCCCGTTGGGAACACTGACCTTAACCTTCGTCTCTCCTTTTTTCCATCGCTTTTCTCGTCCCTTTCCCTCCTTCTTCCGAGAAGCCACGATTTATCTTCGATTTCCTTCCACCATTGTTCTCAACACTTTTTTCATACATCAGAACCCTCTCTCACAGTCGTATCCCCGGAAAAGTTCTTTTCTTTCAGAAAATAACTTAGTATCGACATTCCCAAATATTACTATGATGACAACTAAGTCCACAATGGCACCAAGACTCTTTGGTAGGTTGAAGGCTTTATTAGGATCCTCTAGGGCTAAGGTTACCAAGTTGGTGCTAATCGTTTACCTAGCTTTCCTCACAAAGAACATAGGCAGTGTTCCCAACCGTCGGGAGGCCCGCGGGGAACTGTCAAAAACCCTGGACGGGACGAGGACTGTATGGGATGGCTGAGGACTGTAGGGGACGGCGGGGGTCGATGCGAGTGATGTTTTGTGAGGTGATGGTAAATCTTTTCTGGGTGTGATTTCAACTTGGCTAGTACCGGAGGTCTAAGTGCTAAGGCTATATAGCCCCCTACAGTCCGCCCGGTCCTCATCTTCCCGGCCGGAGTCCGTCCCGTCCGACCCCGAAGGCGGACGAACTTGACGGCTGGGAACACTGAGTTACATAGGTCTAGTTTCTACGGTCGTCGGTGCTTGCGGAGTCGAGGCAATCCGGTTTACGGATTCCCACTTGAACAGAAAGGAAATGAGGCGTCGTCACGAGCAGGAGGCTGAGAGGAAGAGACCCAAAGATAAAATCGAGACAGACAGGGGAGCCACCAACCAATTCCAAAGACCCATGAGGGTCGGGCCCCGGAGGGGCGATGTGGGAATGTGACGGGGAGGGGGCAGGGTAAACCGGGATGGAGGAGGTCCTAAAGTTTTTTAGGGGAGGGGGGTAGGAGAATGCGTGGGGCGAGCGGGTAGGGGGCGGAGGGTCGGCTTTTTTCATTTCAGTTATGATATGATACCAACCCTACCGCTGAACCCACCACTTGACCGCATTACACCCACCGATCTGTCCACATAGCCCAGCATAGCGGAACGCCCACCATCACCTCTGCAAAATATCCTCTCCAATCGAGTGACCGATGGTGACTACACAGCCTTATCGTACCTTCCTTCTTTCCTTGCTGCGCGTATCAGGCTTTGCACCTCTCATACTGCTCACTTACCTTGGGCCACTACTCATCAGCATGCGCAGGGGCCATGCCTTTTATGGGGGGAGCAACATGGGTAAGAATTTGGCTTCTATTTCCACAAACAATGGTATCATACGAGGGATGTTCGATGATGGTGCAACTGGATTTTTGTCACAATAAACTTTTATTTTATTTTTTTATCAGTTACCTGTGGTGTTCCGGGCTCTTCAATAATATTATAGTATGAATACAAATTTTCTTGACTGGTGGGATCTTGTCGAGTGCCTTAAGGTTGTACTGTATGTATTGCTTCTAAGCGCTATGGTGGGGCCGAATTCATTCTTTATGATAAGCAAGATGTCTCATTCCCTAAACCTTGAGGTGGTATGATATTCACAGAGGTCAAGGCTATCATACCAACCTGATGGATCCGTGGAGATGATTTCTATAATAATATTATTATAACATATAGTCATGCTAACTTACTCTGTTTCAGCTATGATACTGTATCAAATTCACCAGTAAATACGGCAACTACATACAGAGGAAATGTAGATAATCCAAGTATCAGAAACTAAATTGTATTCAAAGCTTAATTTTGCCCACACAGTGCTTTTCAGCTTTCGTTAGAATCCATTGAAAAGTCAAGAATTTAATGGTAAATTATGTTTTCTGTCCTCTTCTCATTCATTGTATTTATCCCAGCAGTATCCACCTCCATGAGCAATATGTGAGACAGATTCTAGGCTGTGCAAGTAGAGTTTATGATGAGTCAATATAGTGGCCCTTGATTTGGGAGCTGGTAGTACTAGTACATACATTGTAATAACTATTATTTGCTTTGTTTTTATTTTTTTTAACTTTATGGCAAAAGGCTTACAAGGGAGAGAGAGAACCCCATGGACTGGCTGGTCAGCTTGGCCTATGGCAAGTACTGCTGAGTGGGGTGGGTTACTCATTGGAGTGAAAGCTTTTTCATTTTGTCATTTTGTTTGTCTGATTTTATTGCCAATATCTAGAAATACAATACCTGTTTCCAGGAAGGTATGTCTCCAGTGACTCGGCGGGACTCATGACAGGATGGGGTGTACATGGGTACAAGTAGTAGGAAAAAAATGGATGTATCCATGATGGCTAGGAGATGCTATCTTAAAAATGCTTATTAGAGACTGGCACTTGTGAAGGACTTGCATCTACTATCATAATTTGTGTATACTATCCATCTGGAAGACTGAAATGGATGGGCATAATGTTATACTCTACGGTACTTCAACTTCAGCAAGGGCTTACAGGGGACCTTCCTTGAACGGTACACTGAATGAGCAGGCCAAGAACAGCCAGCCACACATGCACACATGCGTGCCCCTACATCAACACTAATGCAGATGTCAAATTACTCTCCACTCTATCTCAAACCTCCCCTATGAGGGATTGTGTCTAGCCCCTGAGCCGATGAGTGGATCACAGAGACCTAAAAGATCAGGTGATTCACCAGTGATAACAGGAGTAATATTTCATCACAGCGGTCCAAAAGTGATGCCTTAGGTGGCTCTTTCAGGTGTTTTGGGATCCATTTATTGATCCTCTTGAGCAAATGCCCACCTCCTCCAGACCTTGAAGTCACATCATAGTGAGCGCTTCGCTGACAACCAAATGATCCATCCTTGAACGCTAACATGTAAATCTATTTTTTTGTCCCTCAGTGCTAAGGACTCATGGCATTAGGGTTGAGGACTGGTATGTTCAGAGACTATCGTTTTACATTTTGGGTACTGGTTGGGAGACTACCGTAAATGCTTGCATCTTGTACCGTACTTGGATAGGAATGAAAAAATTGGAGACTAAAGGTGGCAAAACAGGGAATAGGAGGATGATTAATGTAGCGGCAGGTAAAAAGTGATCAGATTGTAAGGCATCTAAAACCACGGCAGTTAGTAAACACCAAAAAAGTAATTCTGAATGAAAATACGGTAGAATGGGCCATCAGTAATGCATTAGAGGAGAAGCATTCCCTGCCCTCATCAATTCCAGTGATAGCAATATAAGAGTAATTATCATACCAAGTTCCAACGGTCACTCCTTGTAGACCCATGAACCTTTCATAAATACAAGTGGATAAGGGAAAAGGTGTAGGAAACCACAGGAAGAAAGTCCTTGAAAGTGAAAAAAAAACCTGATGAAAAGAAAAATAAAGAATGCTACTTTTGCCAAACAAAAAATGTAGGAGTGCCCCCATTGCTGTCCAACTCTGTATAGAAACTGACAAAAATGAAAGTAGCTTCTTTATTCACCAACTGTAACCAAAATCCCACAGGCTACCAGGATCAGAGCTTGCCCACCAAGTAAAGAAACTTGCGTCTGATTGCTGTTGTACTAGCTGGATTAGCAGCAAACACTGTAATCTCATTGGAAGAAGCATTGCGGGTCCAAGTAATAACGGAATTGAACTCAGATTATTTGGTCCAACTAAGACTATCATGGAGGACACCTGCACGGTAATTCATCACCTCAACAAGATGAGGATAATCTATTGGAAACTTTTAGCAATTATTGTATAATAGAGCATTTAAAAACAATTTATCAGCTTACCAATCAAATTCATCACCACCCTCTAGTCCATTCCGTATAGATACGTGAACATTTGAATATATTGGATCAGATTATGTTTTAGAAGATAGATATTGGTCACCACATCACTACTATATGCGATTTTATTGCTATCATCAATGGATGTCTGGAGACCAATACCTCCTATCCTGGCCCAGACTCGTGGGGTTGCAAAAGATCTTACTCGAATCCTCACCACAGTCTTCCGAAGAGGACAAAGCATAACAACCTCTGCTTCAAGAGCCTCTAACCGGTGCGTAATTTCTTACATCTTCTGTAATTGACTGGGGATCCCATGGCCGCTGTCATTACAATAAGTTGTTTCAGGGCCACTATAGGTCCCTGTCTGCACCGATGATATCGTTGGAATAACATTTTTCAATCCTTCGGTAACAACTTCACAGTCATTCTGACCTGGAGTCTTGGAATTATTTCTGTCCACCTCACAGTAGACTAAGTCCGCTAACATCTTACGTTCAAGTAGTAGGACGAAGTATGGAAGTAAAGATGTCTGCCACAGACGTGTTGAGATTTTGATGAGAA